GCAAATCTGTTCCTCGCTTGGCAAGAATATCAGCCTCAACGTTACCCGGAATCCCACAATGGCTGGTGATCCACTGTAGAACCACATTGGTGCCTCGGTGTGTCAGGTTAGAGAGGAGGGATTTACATTCCAATATAGCACTTGATAAACATTCATTCGTGCTTGTGACAGCAAAGATGGCTGCTTGGGAGTCGATGAAGAGAACAGCGCTCTGATCCCGCCTTCTAGACAATGTTCTTAAGGCTATGAGGATCGCCGCTATCTCACCGTCAAAATTTGTTGCATCTTTTCCCACCGCAGCGCTGATTTGGAATTCCCTTGAGTAAACCCCTGCTCCAGCATTTTTAACGGCTGATTCAGCTGATCCATTGGTATAGATATGGAACCAATCTTGAGGAGGGTACTTTTGAGCTATGGTTTCTAATGCTAATGCTTTTAGCTCGTATTCAGATGTTTTTTCTTATCCACTTTATGAAGGAGTTGCAGTTCTGCATTGAATGCGTGATTATGAATTGGTAACTGTGGATGTATAAATGGTTCCCTTTCTTCGCAGTCAAGCCCTCTTTCTTCAAGTAGTGCCGTCGCCTTCAGCATGAAGGATTTTTTTGTCTTGAGCCGTTGAGAGGGGATTTTGTATTTTTTCCAAAACTCTTGGTCTATTCTGTTCATTCGCTCGTGAAGGCACATTGCAGCTCGCTCACGCCGTTTCGATAGAGGTTCTACTGTGGTCTGCAGTTCCATAGCTACAACAGGGGTTGAGCGCGGTGCACCCAAAATCAAACGCAGAGCTTTGTTCTGCTGGTCATCTAATCTTTTCAGGGATGCATCAGCCTCAGTACAGATGACTTCAGAACCGTATTCCAGTACAGGGCGTACATAGGTTTTATATGCAAGACCCATCACATCCTGGGTGACCCCCCATGTCTTTCCTCCAAGGCGTTTCAGAAGTTTTAGCCTGTTTTCCCCCTTTTCCACCATCTCTTCAATTTGTCTGTTCCAGATCATTTTTGTATCTAACCTAACTCCCAGATATTTGCCTGCATAGGTTCTTGGTAAGGGAACATTATTGTAGATGATTTCCAGCTCGCACCCTTTTGTTGATAAGGCGAACAGTTGGAATTCAGTTTTCTGCGTATTCACTTCCATTTCATTACACTTGGCCCAGGTAAAAAGTCTTGCCATTGCCTCATTAATTGCTGCTTCGAGTGCTGTTATGTTGCTACTAGTCGCATATACTAGTAGATCATCAGCGAACAGTAGAGCAGATATTCCGGGTATTCCCTCGAGTACAGCCATTAAGTCATCAGCCAAATATTCTCTGAAAGCTTTTCTCTTGGCTTGAATTATATTGTACTTAAGGGTTGCTGTAAGTTGTTTTAGTCTTACTATATCTTCCGGTTTCTTTGACATTTCTACATCTTTTCTTGCTGCATCTCTACTATCTTTTAGTTTCTGTAGTTTGTCACTCCAGAATGGGGAATATCTTTTCATAAAACCCCGAGGAATGGACTGCTTTGCACACTCGAGAATTGCCGCTTGAAGTCGGGCGCAGCTTATATCTACATTTTCCGTAATGGCTGTGTGAGTGAGCTGAGAGAATTTATTCCAATTGGCTTTTTTCAAATTCCATCGGAGCATTCGAGGCACTGAATCATTATAAGACTTTAAGTTGCCATTATGATAGACAAGCATTATCCTGTGACCAAATGCTCCAGGTGGAGAGGCAACTGTGTGGGAGATCAGCGGAGCTATTCGTGGGTGCACCATAATAGGTCAGGGTGGGAACTATTACCTTTGTAGTCCATAAAAGTGGGCTTTGAATTTTCGTTTTCCACAAATTCAATCATATTTGTATCGATAAATTCTTCCAGAGTTTTCCCCGCTGAATTCGAGTTTGTGTAACCCCAGCGCCTGGAGTGCGCGTTGAAGTCTCCATACACAAGGGATTTGTCCGTCAAAGAATCCTCCAGCCAACCCAAATTCGGTTTATTATTAGGGGGGTTATAGATGACAAATATTTGGTGGTGGAAATTGTTTGACCACAGATTGATTTCCACTCCTTCCAATTTATCATTTGCATCCATTTCCTTTTTAACTTGAAACTTGACCGTGAAGGAAGACCTTACACCAACAAGTATTCCTGATGCTATCTGCCTAGCTCTTGGCAGTGAGTAAATTTGGAAATCTGGATACCTGAAGTATTCAAGACAATCAGTAGCAGTGCCTGCCTCAACAATGCAAAATAGATCAATTTTATTTGAGGATATAAAATGCTTCAATTCTGTGTACTTTTCACTGGTGAGACCACCCGCATTCCAAAAAAGAGTCTTTAAGATAAAGTTGTTATGGCCTTGAGAAAGGCCGTTTGCGTTGGCCAGGCTTTATGCTGGCCGCGCCATAAGTCGCTATTGGTGACACTGGGAGTCTGGCGACTATGTGATCGTTTGGTTGGTTATCCAGGGGCACGACGAGGACGAGATCACACCACCCCCAAAAAAATTTAAAATATTTAACAGTTTACATTTAGTAACAAAATTTCATTTAATTTCCTTGAAAACATGTTATTATTTATATGTTTTTCGTCACTCTTCATTACCTTCTACAACTTTCTGTATTAGATATTGTTTTTTCTAAAATAATCTGCTTTCCAATGATATATTTTATATTATACGTATCCCTTCTGACCAGAATTTCCGGAGATTCATTTTCGACCTATATAAGTATTATTTTTCTCCTTTATCTAATTATCAAATTCTTCCAAAAGTTGTATTTAGCATTTTTCCATAACCCCTAACAATGATAAATAGTTATTATTTATAATAAACCAAATTAAAGGTAGTTTAGAAGAAGATACGATAATGTTGGGATTTCACAAAGGGAAAATTCATCAAATTTGAAAGATTTTAAATACTTTCTACAAACATAAAAATATTTTTTAAAGTTTACATTTAGTTAGCAAATTTAATTTAATTTCCTTGAAAACATGTGATTTACGTTAAATATTATCAGTTTTCCAAAATTATTATTTATAATTTGTTTGCAGCTCTCTGTTACCTTCTACAACTTTCTATATTAGATATTTTTTTTTCCTAAAATTCTCTGCTTTCCAACGATATATTATAAGTATACTTTCTGACTTATGTTCCCGGGGATTCATTTTCGACCTGTATAAGCATTTTTATTTATTTTTTCCTTTATTCAATTATTAAATTCTTTCAAAAGTTATATTTAGCATTTTTTCATAACTTTTAATAATGAGAGATAGTTGATTATTTAAAATAAACCATATTAAAGGTACTTTAGAGGAAGACGCATATGAACATTGGGCATGTAAGCCCTGTAAAGTGACATCAACAGGGATAAGACCTAAATGATATTAAAGACCACTTCATTATACAATGATATACCGAGTTTAATCAAAATTATTTGAGCCGTTTTGGGGGAAATTGTAAAAATGTGTTTCAGCGTTGATATAAAGTGGCACGGTAAGCTGATTTTAAGGAAAAAATTGCCAGGACATCTAAGCAAATATCTATCTTAAATAAGTAATATCAGTTTCGTACGACTTTTCGGTTTCGAGCTAGAGTGTTCACAGACACACAGACCATTTTTTCGGGACTTGGTTATTTGGACTCAGGGAACCTCAAAATATGTATTTCCATTGAAAACTCAGATTCAAAACTTTTCATGATCGCAATACTTACACTTACTATATATTACATTTATAGTTAAGTGAAAGTAAAAATAGTTTCAAAAAGTATATCATAACGAATTTTATGGAAGATATGGATTAAAAAATCTCAGAACTAAAAATCTGACCTGCATACTGTAAGCAACGGATTTTTTCAGCATTTCATCCTCTTTATAATGAACTATTATTTATAATTTATATTTTATAATATTAATCTCGCCTTGTTGATTTTTTCACTTTTATCGTGTGGTCTAAAGCACACACCTTAGTTTTTTATTTGTTTATGAATTTTTTCTCTACAACTAGCCATTAAGCCGATAAACTGAGCTGCAGAAGGAGCCAAAGTCCCAATTTAAATTCTCTGGTTCTTTCTTTATTATACTCAGTTGATGCTGAATATAAAAAAAATAAGACTATTCTAATTCTATAAGTAACACTAGTCTAATTCTATAATTAGTGTGTAAGAAGAAAATGAGGTAACAGTCAATTAATGTTTTCCATGACATTCTCTTGACAGGTTTTATTGACTAGACGAACCCACATAAAATATTTTCACAGGTCGACAAAAAATTTTAATTTCACTTACCAATCCAATATGTGGCAACATCCATTCCTACTCCAGTTATAAAATAAGGAGAAGCCATGAGTGGCTTGAAGGTTCCAGGTACATAGACTTGATTACTTCGTAACCTTTTTTTTTTTGGATCCTCCCCTTCCTCGCCGTTAAGGCTATACAGGGTTTTCCCTGGCCAGGGAGTGTGGGCGGGGATTTAAAAGACTCCCTCAGCACCGGGACGCGAACTCGTGACTATTTTTATTTCATTTGTCATTTATCAGATTGCTCGGCAATGGCAGTGCTGTGCACACACGTTAGCCCATTCGGCCACCTCTCCCACAATTACTTTGTAACCGGATTTTATTTTATTTTCTGGACTATATCTGAGAATTGATTTGAAGTTTATATTGTGGAGGTCCCACAGTCAAATCTTAACCTTCCCTATCTGGTTAGAATATGCTGGTCATAACTTCAGAATAACCAAGCAAACTTTCGCTCAGTTAATTGGTTACTAAATATTTATATTCAATGACCCAAAAAACTAGAATATACCTAATTTTACAACTTTAACAATCTATTTTCATATTTTTCCATATTGCCTAAAATATAGGTCTGGGCCTCAAGGAGACTATACGATTATATATTCCCCATCATTGATTTTTAGGGTTGACAGACTACATTGCTATTTATTGATGTATGATCTCTGATTGATTATTTTTTACTATATATTTTTTCAATTATTTGTAATTTTAGGAACTTACTATTAAAACAAGAACTGGTATTGTTGGGATTGAAAGAGGCCTCCACGAAAAGCAAAAGGAAACAGAAAAAACAATCTCAATAGCCTTTCAAGATTTAAGCATACTTATGGACAAAGCTAAAGAAATGGTCAACCTTTCAAAAGTCATTTCAACAAAAATAAGGGTGATTGATTTACTTTGAAATTTTATTTGTTTAATTTTTTTTATTTTTTATTAAACTTTTTACTGAAAATTTTATCTATTTTGGGTGTAACAATTTTGTTGAAACTTTATTTCTTTTATAAATATTAGGCACGGATTTTTAAAAAATTATTGTTATAAACATTATGAGTATGGGCAATGCTGCTCTTTCAGAGCTACTCTTTTTAATCAAGTTTTATTATTATTATTATTTTCAATAATGAACCATTGTAATCGACCAAAAAATTCAAAAACTTAACCCCCTCAAAATTTGAGGTTTTACGTTTCAGGATATGTAGAATTCAAAAAAGGAATACAAATTTTTTTGTCCATCTGCCGTACGCGGTCTTTATTTATTTATTTGAACCCTACTGTACCATTGAGGCAATACAGGTTTTGCAGAACTGGGTTGTTACACGTCACTGCATCACTGCCTGCTTCTTTTTTTGTTTTTTTTTTGGGTGAAAAAAAAATACCTAGCCTTTAAGCCTACATGGGGTTTTCCCGGGCCAGGGAGTGTGGGCGGAGATTTAAAAGACTCCCTTGGCACCGGGACACGAACTCGTGACTATTTTAAATTCATTGTCTCATAGATCAGGTTGCTGGGCAACGGCTGTGTTGTGGCCACACATTAGCCCATTCGGCCACCCTGCCCACAACTGCCTGCTTCTGCCGTCAGCGCATTTCCTCTGAAATTGCTGGACCAATTTTTTTCGAATTTGGATTTAAAATTAGTAGTCACCCAAGGATGATCCTTCTTCATTTACATTTATTTTATTTTTTTTTTTTTTTTTTTTTTGCGGCAAGAGTGCACTACGGTTATGTAGGCCTATTGCACGCCTATTTTGAAGTCACTTCAGTTAGAGTGTAATTCCTGCAGTCTCTATGAACTGTAATAAGCTTGTTGGATTGATAAGTTCGTTTGCCTTGGGATCCTTTCCCCTATCAGTGCCAAATAACCAAAATCTTAGGCCAGCAAACCCATCTCACCCGCAAGTGACATGATACTCTGTCTCATCCTCCCATCCACAGTACCTACAGAGAGACGACTCTGTGAGCCGGAGTTTGAACATATGATAATTTAGTTTACAGTGCCCCATATATGCTGCTGTAATTTTCTTAACAGAGTTCCTGCTCAAATTAATTAATAAGTTGGTTCTTTTTTGGCAGATTCCTTCCAGAAACAGTCTCGAGTGGGTCTGCTTTTTCAAATACCAGTTCCTTTTGTTTTCAGCACCATATATCTCCCCTGTTCTGTTTATTGTCAGACACTGACTAATACCACAGATGGGTTCCGGAGCTATTGGTGTTGTTTGAGAGTCTTGTCTTGCTAGTTCATCAGCCATTTCATTTTCATGAATTCCCGAGTGACCCAGAACCCATTCAATGGGTACCTTATTAAGTCTAGACAATTTGTTGAGAATTCTGACACAATCCCCAACCACCTTGGATCTAGTTGTATAGTTGTCCAGTGCTCGTATAGCCGCTTGACTGTCTGTAAATATTGCAATTCTCCTCCCAACTAACCTGTCAAGCAGCATTTTTGAAGCACAGTGAGTTATAGCCAGTATTTCAGATTGAAACACTGTTGCGTAATTTCCAAGTGCTATTGACATGCCCTCCTCTGGTTTATCCCTTCTCCAGAAACCAGCTCCAGATCCGCATGTCATAAGTGACCCATCAGTGTAACAATTGATCCCATTAACTGGCTAATGTTTACCTGAGCTGTCTATTTTAATGTCATACATCTTTGTGAGAAATTCTCAGGTTTGAGTGTCAGAATGCATTGTAAGCAGTCTGTCAGCCTCAATTTTCCTAGATATTCCGTAATGTCCCTCCAGGGTGTTTATTTTTTAGCATAGTTTTAATTTCTGTAGCCTGTACAAAGTTTTCATGGCCTTCTTTTCAATCTCCAATTGCAGTGGTAATATACCCAGCATTATTTCCATAGCTGCAGTTGGAGTAGTTTTCATTGCGCCCGTTCTCATTAAGCAGGCTAGTCTCTGTACTTTTTCCAATTGTATCCTGTTGTGGCGAACTCCTGCCTTATGCCACCATACAACAGTTGAATATAAAAGCATATGTCTAACTGCTGCAACGTACAATCAGTAGATCATCCGAGGTTTAAGTCTCCCATACCTTTCCTACAGCATTCTTGCATGCCCAGAGGCATTTTCGGGACTTTTTTAGTTGTGTGCTCTACATGTTTGTTCCACATCATTTTGTTGTCCAGCATAACTCCTAGATGTTTTACCTCCTTACTTTCAGTTAGCTGGATATTATTTATTCTGGGTAGTCTTATTTCTACCTTTATTTTCTTTGTAAAGATGCAGACATTTATCTTGGCCGGATTGACACTAAGTCCACTGGACCGGCACCATACTCCTAAGATTTCAGTCGCATTTTTCAGTAGATCCGAGAAAACATTCTGATGTTTTCCACCAATAAGAATAGCGATATCATCCGCATATCCTTGTGCATAGAAGCCTGCAGTGTTTAGTTTTAGGAGCAAGGAGTCCACCACCAAGCACCACAGTAATGGAGAAGTACACCTCCCTGTGGACATCCTCCTCGAGGTTTAATCCACATCCACAAGGTGTTTCCTAATTCAGTTTTGAGAGTTCGCGTATCCAACATATTGCCAATCCATTTGGTTATAAGTGGATCTATTTTTCTTTTCCTTAGAGTATACATGATAGTTTCATAAGGAGTTCTATCGAAGGCACCTTCTATATCAACAAAGGTACCAATAATTATTTCCTTCTGATTCATGGATTTTTCAATCCTTGCTACCAGATTGTGTAGTGCAGCTTATTGATTTACCTGGTTGGTAAGCGAATTGATTAGAGTGTATCGAATTTGCATTCACTAATTGCTCTCTTATATGCCTGTCAAGAATCTTCTCCAATGCCTTCATCAGAAAAGATGACATGCATATTGGCGTGAAAGACTTAGGATCATCATATGTTCCTTTTCCAGGTTTTGGTATATAGCGCAGTTTAGATCCCCTCCATTCAGAGGAAATTTAACCAAGCGCCATACTGCCCCTCAGTAACTCTAGGAGATATGGTTTAATGGCTGAAAGTCCTTTCTGAATCAGTACTGGTAGGATCTCATCCAATCCAGCCGATTTGTAGGGAGACAATGTATTTACAGCCCATTCCACTCTATTCACTGTAATGATTTTTCTAGCCTTAATCCAGCCATTTCGGTTAGATGTATTGCTAGGGATTATAGTATCTCTACATGCATTTTCCATGGTCTCACATCCAGGAAAGTGTGCTATTGCTAGTTCTCTTAGGGTTTCCAGCTCATTACTTGTGTATTTGCCATCAACCCTGAGTGTACTCAGTATTCGTTGGTCTTTCTGTTTAGTAAGTATTTTTTTATCCTACTTGCCATAGGAGTGATGTCAATTTCCTGGCAGAAGTTCCTCCAGGACCGTCTTTTCGCTTTCCTTACAGATTTATGATATTCTGTGAGGGTGGTCCTGTAAACCTCCCAATTGCCATGTTGCCAACCTCCCATTTAGGCATTCTAAATGCCAGGTGTTGTCTATTTTTTTTGGACAATAACTAATTGCCTCTTCTAAATAAGATAGGTATTTTTTCCAGTCCGTAGATTTAGGATTTCTATAAATCTCTATGGTTTTGTTATAGTCAGACCAGTCGAATTTGATATACTTATGGTCTGAACAGGTTTCTGCATCCTGTACATGCTAGTTTTGTATTTTCGACGTGACCTGGCTAGAGGCCAGCATTATATCTATGACCTCTGATCTTAATTTATTAAAGAAGGTAGTTTTATTTCCCCTATTTAGTATCTGTAAGTTATTACTAATAATAATATCCAGTAATATCTCACCTCTAGGGTTGTTGTTTGAACTGTCCCATATGATGTTGTGGGCATTAGCGTCCAGTCCCATCAGGGTATTTTCATTGCTGGAGATTATAATTTCTTCCATGTCTTGAGCTGGGACTCCCGACTCATATGGCAGGTAACCTACCACTACAGTCAATGTCCTTTTGTCATTTGATGTGGTGAGTGTGGCTGCTGCCCAGTCCCTAAGTAAGGTTCTTGGATTAATATGATATCAATATCCTCACCTTTGATGTAATGTAGGAGCACCCCACTAGCCGCAATGCGTTGGTGTAGATTTTTTTGCAGCAGCCTCATCAGGTTTCTTAATCGATGGACATTTTGGACGGACTCCCGGATGGAGACCGTGGCAGGCTTTCACCCTCAGACCCAGCCTTAACTGAGTCTTTGGGATCAGTCCCTCCTCCGGCTTCCTCCAGTGCCCATTGTCCAAAACTTCTTCCATTAAAAGTATTGGAGGGCTGATTGTCCGGTGGTTCCAGTGGCAGGATTTCACCAGATGAGACAGTTTTCACCATCCTCTCCGGCTTCTTCCCTCCTCCCGGTTTCCCTTCGGACCCAACCCCCCTTTACCCTATTTGATCTTCCAGGGGCCCGCCACACGGCCGACGAGGATGGCTGAGATTCACCAGGCGAAAGAGCTTCCGCTCTCCCACCCGGTTTCACCCCGCCTCTCCCCGCAGTCCCGCAGCAGGCTCCCTTCCGACTAGCAAGGCGACTAATTGGTGGCAGATCCTCTGATCCACCATAGTTTGGAGCTTTAACTTCAATGCCTTCCAGGACTTCCTCCTCATCCTGTGGCATTGTGGATTCTTCCTTGTTATGATCTTTGAGTACTTTGATAGTAACTCGGCACCATCCATAGCCAGCTTTCATGCCGTGTTTTTTAAGGCTTTCCAAGCTGGAGTCAGAGATCCTAACTAAGATACCACTCATTCACTCCTTCAATAGTGGTATTCTGTGTTCTCAGCCTTTTCATTAGGGCCTCCTCGGGAGCACCTTCCCCGGAAAGAAGGCCCCAATCTTCAAGGTTTTTGTTATTTCCTGTGCATCCCCCGTACGAAGGGTAATGCCCTCCACCAGGTTGATGCTTGGGATGATTTTTTCCAGCCATGTGCATGTCTCATTGTTCTCATTGAATAACTCAAAAAGTATACACTCTTTTGTTAATATTGTATATAGTTATTTAAAAGTTTATGAAATTTCCTAAAAAACAAAAACAAAAAAAAAACAACATTAAAATCGGACAATTAGGAGCAAAGATGTTTTTTGTATGTTCTACTAAAAAGGTTATATCCTATGTTTTGGTTTTTGATTTTTTAATGTGTTACTGAAGTAATGCTATTTTTTTTAGCAAATTACTAATGATGAAAAAAAAATGTTCGTGCCAATAATTAGAATCACCTTTTATTTCTTTTTGTTTGTCACTAGGAAGGTAATGTTACTTTAGATGTATAATTGTTTGGAAATTATAAACCATTGTGATTTATAATTTGCAACCATTATAAAATTTGCAGTATTTTTATTATGGGATCGGAGTAGTTCAGTGAGTTAGGCACTGGGCTACTAAACTCAAGATCCCGGGTTTGAATCTGGTTGATGTCAAGTGATTATTCATCAGCGGTAGATTGACCATGGGCTCATGAGACCCTCCTGTGGCATATCCAGCCTCTATAAAGTGAGTACTCTTAATTAAATAATTAATTAAGGGAAACACCTAGCGTTTGAGCGTGATACTGGCCCAATCACCCTCCTGCACAACCGTTGACCTTGATACAGTACTTCTTAACAAATCCCTCCCCTCCCCCCCAAAATCCATCATGGGTTTATTTCTTTATTTAGTACAGGTTGATTTTTTATTATAACCGTGAATTGATTCAATGTTAAAGAAGCTTTTTAATGAAACTAGAAATGTAACTAAATATTTTTGATGAACAATTTTTTTTTTGGCTTCATCTTAATTGTAATTATTTCAACAGGAAAAACAAGGTAGTATAACAGAAGATGAAACAGTCCAGTTTAAGTCATACTTACTTAGTTTGGGTATTGATGATCCTGTTACACGAGAGTCTGTTTCTAGTGAGAGTAAATATATTGAAAAACTAGGAAAGGAAGTAGTGGATATTCTAGAAAGTCCTATCAAGGTAAGTTTATATTCATTAATTTTTATAATTACTCTATTAATTTCATAAAAAGTGATCACATATTCAGATAACATAATAGTGATTACTCAGTTTATTTTTATTACATAAATAAACTCTACATACATAAACATGCCAAATAGCTTTAATTTTAGTTTTGTTTTGTTAAATGTTAGTTCATACTTCACCAAGTTTTTATTTTATTTTTTTTTTAGGAACAGGGTGGAATGATGTCTTTATCTGATGCTTATTGTCGAGTAAACAGAGCTCGTGGTCTTGAATTGGTTTCTCCTGAGGATTTATATCGTGCTTGTCGCAGACTCACCACACCTCTCAAGCTTAGGGTTTTCGATTCCGGTGTTATGGTTTTGCAATTAAGTGAACAGGATGATTCTGTTACAGTTGAAGACACGGAAGCTGCTGTAAGAATGTTTTCCTTGCAAAATTGTTTTAAAATATAAAAACTTCGGTATATTTAATTATTTTCAATACTTATGATAGAAAAGCGGCTCATTTTTTTAAATCTCCATTTCAGATTAAAGTTAATGGATCTCTGACTGCTCAAGAACTGTCTCAGATGTTAGGTATTTCAATGCTGCTTGCCAAAGAACGGTTGCTTACTACAGAAAAGTTTGGAAAAATTTGTAGGGATGAATCTATAGAAGGTGTTCGATTTTATCCCAACTTATTCCTAGAAAATGATATGGTCACTTGAGTTTTACTTAGATGATAAGCTTACTTTGCTGTAGCAATGTATTACTATCTGGCATGATAGAAAATTATTTAAATCAATGATTAATAAAATCAACTTTTTATAATAAACTGTGTTTTCCTTCTACTCTGAACATTGATTGTTCATTTTACCTTTATTCACTAAATTCTACAAAATATTTAAATTAATTAATATTTGTGCCATTAATCTTATATATGTGTGTGTGTGAAATAAATTAGTGTTTGAAATAAAAACATTGAATGTACAATAAATTATGTCTGTAGGTATTTAGCATGAAAATGAGATTTTTGTTTTTAAAAACTGACTAGTAGAAAGTTAAACATTGAATTTTTATGTTTAATTTTATTTATTTGAAATAATTAACTTGTGAATAAGGTACTTGTGAACGGTCTGGTCTCTGGTAATCCTCCCATCTTATCTTATCTTATCTTACATCACCTTCTTATCTTATGTTATGTCACATAACCTGTCTTTTTATCTAATGTAAGCTGTTGCATGTGCATTATTAACATGGATGTTATTACATTGTTGGAATTGCCGTCTTCAGAAGAAGAGGCTATCAAATATTTTCAAGATGCCAGGATAATTGCAAAGGTGAAATATTGTGATGGTCATAAAATAAAGTTTGACGAAATAGAGATACTTTCATAACACTTGTAAGAAAAATGTATCTTTAAAGCAAAGCGACATGGTTAGAGGGGTCAAAGATTACCTTTTCAACTGTTTTAAAATTAATTGATTAATGTAATTAAGTTAATTAATGGGTGGTCTCATAGTTTGACAACAATACAGTGGGGCAAAGAGTAGCTGAAACTATCGAACAGATGTATCATAATGTAGAACAAATTTTTAATAGAGGTTTGTGCCCATAACATGTTGTACAGGTCAATTAAGAAAATTGGAGGGCCTGGGAAAGTATATTTTTACTTTCACTTACGTATATATGTAATATATAGTGAGTGTAAGTATTGCGATCGAGAAAATTTTTTAGTCTGAGTTTTCAACGGAAATAGACATTTTGAGGTATCCTGAGTCGAAATGGCCAAGTCCCGAAAAATGGTCTGTGTGTCTGTGTGTTTGTATGTTAGCAGTCTAGCTCAAAAACGAAAAGTCCTACGAAACTGATATTACATATTTAAGATAGGTATATGGCTTAGGTGTGACAGCAACTTTTTCCTTAAAATCGGCTAACCGGAAGTGCCACTTTATATCAACGCTGAAACACATTTTCTCAAAAATGGCTCTAACGATTTTGATTAAACTCGGTGTATAATTAAGTGGTATTTAATATCAATTAGGTCTTATCCTCATTGATGTCACTTTACAGGGCTTAAATGCCCAATGTTCATATACGTCTTCCTCTAAAGTACCTTAAATATAGTTTATTTTAAAAAGTTAATCATTTCACATTATTTAAAGTAATGAAAAAATGCTAAATATAACTTTTGAAAGAATTTGATGAGTTAATGAAGGAGAAAAAAAAAATGCAGAAAAACCAGCCTTGCTATAGATTGTAGCGCCTAAACGGATGTACAGATTTCAATGAAACTTAGCTAAAGTTATTTTCTGGACACCCTTTAAATTTATCTATATAACATACTTCAACGAAAAGTTACATACTGGAAAAAAAGTTACGAGCGATGGTAAAATTAAATTCCGAATAACTCAAAAAGTATACACTTTTTTGGGAATATTTTATATGGTTTTTTTAAAGTTTATGGAATTTCCTAAAAAAACAAAAAATCATTAAGATCGGACAACTAGGAGGAAAGATATGGTCTCTTTTTTTTCCCCCCGGAAGAGGCGGAAATTTGGATAAATTTAAAATATACTATTTTAATTGTTGAGACTAAAAAGACTTTTTTTCTACAGATATTTAATAAAGTATCTTTCCTAAGAACATTTTTCATAGGAAATAAGTACCTAAATTTATACCTTTATTTTCAGTTCTATATTACAACATTGCAATCACCACCTCCGGAATCAACTTACTCATATTCTGCATAGATAACTTTTTCAACTAAAAATATCACTAAAATGACATCACTTAAAAATATTGAAATTGGAGTTAGTCATTCTGAAGTTTATAAAAGCAAAGAAAGTTGTGTGTTTTATAAAAGCAGATGGAGTGATTAGATTTGTATTGCCTGTTGTCGATATATTAAATAGACATTTTATAATTATAATGGTCTTAATGAATTGTTATCTGTAAGCTTTAAGCTTTAGCTCCGTTTAAAATGCACTTAAAAAAAATTTATTATAGCCCAGCATTGCCAGAAAATAATTTATATTCATAGTAGATCGGTAAGTGAAAGTTGTGTGTTGCGCGCACCAGATTTTTTTTTTCAGTTGGCGCTACAGACCATGAAGATCTTTGACCGCGAGTGTGCTCTCCTAGATTACATCCCAATTTAAAGTACGGGGTAGGGTCATCAATCCTACGCCCGGTCGGTGTGAGTTGCCTCCAGTAGGCTGATGAGGCTCACATATCCGGGAGGAGGGGAGGAATCTCAGGCAGCGTGGCTTTCCTTGGTGGACGGTCACCCATGCACGCTTATCGTTGCTTAACTTTGATTACCTATTGCAAGCGCCTTAGCCAGCAAGGCTACCCCAGCCCCTTAAAGTATATATAGCATTTCCAAGTCAATTTCAACCTTTTCCAAATCAAATTCAACCTTTTCCAAGTCAAATTAAACCTTTTCCATTTCAAATTCAACCTTTTCCATTTCAAATTCAACTTTCGAATTTTTGTCAATTTTCGATTTTTTTCGAAATGAAGGCCACTTACTATATTATCGAAGGCATAGCTTTTGAAAAATACAAAAAAAAATTTGATAACGCGGTTGCAAATCCATTTATTTTAACATGAGAAGGAGTTAGTCGAGGGTGCGGTCAAATAAATAAAAAAATTAAAATATATAAATTATTTTAATTTTTTTATTAGTTGACCGCACCCTCGACTAACTCCTTCTCATATTATATCAACGGTCAACCATCTCTACATCATTTATTTTAACATTTTAGATTTTTTCAGTGTAATAGTTCTATGTCATATTCAATTATTTCCAAGTCAAATTCAACCTTTTCCAAGTCAAATTCAACCTTTTCCAGATCATATTAAACTTTTTCCAAGTCAAATTCAACCATTTCCATTTCAAATTAAACCTTTTCCAAGTTCAACATTCAAATTCAACCGTTTTCATTTCAAATTAATGTTTTAATTTTTTGTAAATTTCATATTTTTTTAAAAATAATGGCCATCCCCTCTCCCCACCAATATGGAAGTCTATTATTATGCTCTCCTAAGTAAAATTTTCACTTACGGATATCGATTTATTGTACATATTCGGATTTATTAGGGACTAGTATTATGCTGTCCTGTACCTAGTTTTTAAAATAACCTCCATTTTAAAAATAACGCCACTGCGTTTCGAATTATTTAAGTTTTTTTGATTTATTCGATACAAGGGTGTATTCTTATGTTTTCCGAGCCGTAAATTATGAAAATAAGCTCCATTTTACGATCAGGCCACAGCGTTTTGACTTATTTAAGTTTTTTGAATTTATCCAATTTAAAGGTCTACCTTTGTTTCCGGAGCCGTAGATTTTAAAAACGCACTCTATTTTATGATTAGGCCACCACGTTTCCATTTTGTTTAAGTGTTTTGAATTTTTTTCATAAAAGGTCCTATTCTTATGTTTCTGGAGCCGTAGATTTAGAAAACGACCTCCATTTTAAGATTAGGCCACCGCGTTTCGATTTCTTTAAGTGTTTCGAATTGTTATCATATAAAAGAGTGTATTCTTGTGTTTCCAGAGTCGTAGATTTTGAAAATGGCCTCCATTTTAAGATTACGTCACTGCGTTTCGACTTATTCAAGTTTTTCGAATTATTATCCAATTCGATCCAATTTATCCAATCAATAAAGGATCTACGGGGGGAGGGGGGGAGGGCTTTCGGGCTGAAGCCCCCTCCCCCCAAAATGGTAAAATATAACCATGTTTTAAAGAAAAAAATATTAAAAACTATCTCTTAATGTATTCTTGTTCGTTTAATTACATTTAATAGGACTTCAAGAACCACTTAAACATCATTTCGTATAGGTAGTTAATTTCTTTCTTTTTTTTCTAATTAATCGTTTTTATACTTATATGAAAAAAAATCTTTCGGGCTGAAGCCCCCTCCAAAATTAAATCCTGGATCCGCTAGTGCATTGAATAAATAAAAAAAAACTTAAATAATTCGAAACGCAGTCAGTAATCTTAAAATGGAGGTTAATAGGTACTGTTCACAAGTACCTAATTAATTTTTATTTCATTAATTTAATTACTATTTCCCCAGATTAAAGAAAATTTCTGGAAAAAAAGATAATACTATACATGTTTAATGTTATGTTGTAATGACAAACATTTTAGAAAAAGTAATATCTAAATTAAATATTTCTAGAAGGAAATGAGTGTGATGAAAAAATCAGTTATGAGATTAGATGGTTGTGGAAAAAATATGTTGATCAATTGTTTCAAATGAATATGTCCTTCCATCTATAATTTTCACTTACAAATATATGGAAGTATCTATTTCTTCTCAAAGTAATATAATAAAAGAAGTGTGATGATTACACAGCACCATTTTTTAAAGAGGTAATTGTGTTAATACCTTAGTAAATCTTTTAATTGTAAATAAAATATATTTTGCTTTTAGTTTTTATAAATTCACATTCCTCTTTTTACATATTAAATTAAAAAGAAAATTAATACATTTTTACTAATTATTTCTCTTAAAGCTAGATGATTTTTGGCTAAAACCAAAAAACTTGGGTATTTTGACATTTCACATTTTATACCCTCAATGCATAGATGATAACAACAAACTGAGGAAGGCAGGAAATTACTTGAAATGTGTTTATAAAATTTATTTTCTTAATAAGCAGAATCTATAGGTCCTATGATAATTAATGAGGAATTTTTAGTCAACCTAGAATCTTTGTTTCTTACTTTGACTGCTTTTTTTTTTTAATTGTATTATTTCTTTTGACCATTTATTGTTAATGAAAATAACATTTTAACACCAATAAATATAGTCTATAATGTATCTAAAACAAAGCATATTGTTTGGAATTAAGATATTTTATTTGATATAATAAAGTAAACAATACCAATGTTTTACATCAGCTCTAATTTTCTTCATCAAAATGTAACCCTGGAAAGTCCTGTATTGTGAAGTTAGTACAAGCATGGTTTGCCTTAGCATCTAATTTGATTTTGGTTACCCAACAGATTATGCTAATTTTATTTTAACAGTGAATGCAATTTTGAAGTAGAATCACAGCCAGCTTAAATGTAAGGGAATATCACTTGTGGAATTGAATTTAACTCATTAAAAAAACCCTTAAACTGTTCTAGAAACTATTAGCATCTTCAGCTTGGAAGTCCTAATTAACAGCTTTATACCACTTCTAGAGAATGATGACCCCAATAATAATTATTAACAGTTTTCAATTCCAATTTCTAAACGATGTACAGTGACATTCGTGAGGACTCCAAGAATTTATAAATCATTACAGGTTGTAATCAACATAATACATTTCATAAACAATTGAATAAAAATATTTATTTTATGCTAAACAAATTGAATATGTTCCTAAATATGATCAGTAAAATATCACAATAAATTAGCAAACTAACATTAAATTTACATCCTCTTTGTTTTCTGTTATTATTATTTATTTTTTATACTGGTTACTGTCATAAACAATTCATGTATAATTAATAACTCATATGCTAATATAAAGCAACAAACAGGTATCACATAATGAATGAAATTTTTAAAAAATCAATAAAAATTAAGATTTACAGAAATATTTTTGGTAGCAGATAAACATAATAGTCAACTAGGATGCATAAATTATCATTTTAAAATCTTCATACACGTGCCACTAATCATTTTTAAAGTAGTAAGATAATATACACTGTTATTGTTGGTATTTCATATTTAATAACTAATATGAATGATATAAAAAAAAAATAATAACAAAATCAGAATGGGCTTCATAATTTCATTAGGTAGAAAATAATCTTTTAATAGTCAACTAAGATATATAATACATTACTTTAAAAGCACATACGCAACCAAGTTGACAAATTAAAATTAATGTAGTACATTGTTATTTTATTTCATACTAATAAATCAAACAAAATCATCCTCAATCAACAGAAAATAAATAAAATTTGTTTAATACAAAACATCTGTTTTGGAGGCCATTTTTAAATTTATTACGCATTAAAAATTGGAAAATTAACACACGAAAAGAAAAACTTGATGCACCATTCCAAAGCTTAGATGCTTATTTACAAAGCAGTGTAAAACAAAGCGTATTATGGCTATCTTCTCCTTTCTCCTTTTTGGGTCTTTCGCTTTTCTTTCTTTTCTTGCTGTTGCTGCTTTTGTCGTTCTCTAAAAAAGTATAAAAATAAAACTTAAAGGTACAAGAAGAATTGAAAATGTAGCATAAATTGGGAGGAAATAGTTAATTTATCAAGATATTTTACAAAACTTCATTTAAACAGAAAAGCATACAGAACACAATCTAATTCTATTACTATCTATTCCTCTATCCTAGTCACACAGAACACAATCTAATTCTATTACTATCTATTCCTCTATCCTAGTCACACAGAACACAATATAATTCTATTACTATCTATTCCTCTGTCCCACTCACATAGAACACAATCTATACAAAGATGTTGTAGATCACATTCTGTGTACATGAACCTTGATAATAGAATAACAATATTTTTTTTTTTGGAAAATTAATTTTGTTAAAAAAAACATTTGCTGAAAGTTAGTTGACTATTACAAATTCACTAAGGAATAGAGAAGACAAATTACAAATACAAAACAATTATGTCGAAATATATCAGTAGTTAATTCGTAATCAGAATTAAATGTTAAAGCATACTTTCTTAAACAAAACATTTTCAACCACAATTGAAATAAGACAGAAAAGCCAATATATTTGCACGTAAAAAAAAAAATATGGTTTACTCCAAAACTTTGAGATTTGAACAAAAAAAAAAAAAAAATCCAGATATTTTACACATTAAATGTTATAAGGTTCAAAGTTCTCTATTAGCTAGATTAATTAGGGCAGGGGTTTAGTTTCTTAAATAATTAATGCGTACTCTACCAAGATAAGATAAAATTGAAGCTAAAACTCAACTGACCTATTATATGAACTTTAAATTCATTCAAATTCAAAATAAAATAATAATACAAAAGAATGGAATACAAATCAGATTTATAAAAATTACCGATCCTCTCTGTCCTTTTCTTTTTTCTTCTGACTGTCTACTTTAGCCTTTTCTCTTTTTTCCTTTTCTGCTTGGACAACTGATGATACATTTGTATTACGAACTAAACCATTTTCTTTAGTTTCTTCAACATCCTCTTCATCGCCTGATTCTTGGTCTGAGGTCTGTGAAAATTTATACAATTTTAGAATTAGATATATAGAATTTCATGAAAACGATTTACTCGTTAATAATCCAACTCAATGATAACTTAAGAAAACTTGTTAAATTACACTTAAGACTTCGCCTTAAGAAAAGACATTTACCATTAAGATAAATATTAGTCATTATTTCATATCATTATAATGACCTTCTCATTCTCAGACACTAGAAGGCTAGTTATTTATAGTGGCAACTATTGGCTTCATCTAACACACCGTAAGAAAAAATTTGACTTTCAAATAACTTTCATTATTTTATAATGTTCAAATTGGCAATATAGAAACTACTAAAAAGGAATCAAATAAGAAAGCATAATTCTAAATGACTAAGACTTATTTACAAGAATTAAAGCATGGCAACAGCTATCTTGTATTAAACAAATATGTATAAAAAGTTTACCTGAGCATACTGAGAAAGTATAGCTTCTCTAATCCGCCGTTCTTCTTCTGTGTACTCTCTTTGCACAGGTGCTGAAAGAGTGTTCTTTTCCAATAGCCGGACTAGTTTTTCTTCAACATCTTCAACTGGTCCATCCTGTGCTTGAGAAACTACATCGCCAACTGAGTTAAATTCCATCCACTTTTCTAAAATATCAGAACAAAGCCTAGTGATATCTGAACCCTGTAATATTTAAAATACCACAATTGTGTTAATACCAAAAACAATTAATATTTTATAGACCAAATAAAAGCATATAAAAAAAAATAAAAATATAACGTTACTGTTATTTCAGATAAGATGCCTTCTAAGGCTTCCGTTTTCTCTTCCAAAGTTTCATCACCAGTTAGAATCCCAGTAATATAGTTTCCAAAAACACCTTCATCAGTATTCAAAGACTTCAGCTTAGTAGACAACCAGGAATCAAAATCTTCAGCAAGGCTGGTAGCCATTTTTGGCTAAAGCAGGCCCGATCTTGTAACAAAACGAAATTAACTTAACCCATTTAGCTTAATTGGTACAAATGCGAAAAATATAACGCCTTAATTTGAAAAGAAGCATACTATCAAGTACTGTCATATAGAACAAGGAAAGTCAAACCTCCTATTTTCAACAAATCGAACTAAAAAGAACCGGCTGCCAGATGACTTAAAGTGCATTCATTAACTAAACTTGTCCTAATATCGATACATCGAACTATTATTTTTGCACAATGAACAAAATTTATGATGAATTAACCTGCACTACTATAAAAATCTCTTCTTAAGACAAATTTGTTTTTCAGATATTCAAGAACTATTAATTTATTAGGGCAAAACCTTAATTTTTTAAAATCATTTCTGAAGTTAAATAGCAATTTGGAAAATCTTATTGTTTCTAGAACTCTTAAGTACGTATCAGCCTCATATATATATATATATATATATATATATATATATATATATATACAAAACAAGAAGAAAAAAAGTTAAACTTGATTGACGTGAGACAGGATAGCAATGGTTCTGTTTCTCAGTATATATTACTGAATTGTTTCCTGTGGTATTGTCCTCATCGTATTGCGGTCCCTCTAAAATAAAATCATTAAAACTAGGCGGTCATCCAAAAATGAAGCATCTCTTTACATGTGATTTTTGTCAATATATTACCTGAAAAGGTAAAGTTAAGAAGGACGACAAATCAAAATTTAACGACAGTAAAGGTTGGCTTAATAATTTAAAAAGCAGTATTTTTATTTTGGTTTCACTTGTAATTTTTTTTACACTCATTATATTATTCATTATAGATATGTCATACAGGTACTGCTACTGTTACTGGTGGGGGGAAATATTCAGGCAAGTGGACCCTTTCGTGGTCCTTTTTGCCAATCCCTCACGGCTACTTTGAGGTTGCCGCCGCTAACTTACCAGAATAGGAATCACACGATCTATTTTCTGAGGTCGCCGAGAAATGAAAAGTAACCGACTCGGTTGTGAATCGAACCAGGGCACTCTGGGACCCACATCCCAACTTACTCGACCATATCATCCCTTTGGATAAGTCATAGTGACGCCGTAAAGGTATTTGATACTTGCTTGGAATGAGCAATTGTTTACCAATTATTAATATATTTATCAGTCTTTCTCTTGATATGGGTAACATGTCTTTCTGAGAATGTTTGAAAATATTTAACACCCATACGAAAGAAGAACTTTAACAGGATATTTGTCTGAACAAACTGTGTAGCTAGACAGGTAGATAATTCCTCTCACCCACTGCTCATAAATTTTCTCTTCCTCATATATCTTCAAGATAAGGCCATGGATATGACCATCCTTTCTCAGTTCGGTTCCACCAGACGACATTAATTTTACTTGAATTCAGCCCAGAAAAGAAGGTATTTTACAGGTTCTTAGTGATTTTTAAGAATCTCTTATAGCCCCCTTAACATCCAAGGTTTGAGTATCTTTGAGAAAGGCGTCATTTTCTCTACCCTTTACCCGTTCTAAATCTTTTTCCTAAAGAGCTTTGCCCATCCTTTCAAAGTCTATTCTTTCTCCATTAGTAGGTTACCGTCTCCATTCTTGTAAGTTTCTCGATGTCGGTTAATAAATATATTAGAAGACCTCGACAGAGCGTGTTCAAAGAGGTTCAAACAGAACTCGATGGTTGAGGGAGATGCTAAGATAAGAGAACCGTAAGTATCGGGAGGATGGTTTTTTTTTTTTTTTTTTTTTTTTTTTTCAGGGCCAGTGTAAAAAGTAACACCGAACCGCAATTCGATCTCGTAATCTTCAGTTTATCAGATTGCTGGGCAACGTGTGTTTCACACACGAATTAGCCCTCTCAGCCATCGCGAAACGTGGTGTCTTGCCGTCACTGCTTGACTGTAGTTGAAGGATATCCTCTGCAGTAGCTTTCAGTGCCTTTGAGCAATCCGCTCTCCTTAAAATAATTCATGAACTCTGAAACTCCATTGAACACCAAAACCTTACTATCCTCATCCTTCTAGATTTTTCCAAAGCGTTCGACACAGTTGACCATAACATCCTCCTTAATTGCACAATCTTCCACTATCCAACAGTGTCCTGCATTGGTTCAAATCCTTCCTTTCAAATTGGTCCCAGTATGTAGTCGTCCCAGGTCAACTCCCATCTAAGACCCTTCCCCTCTCCTGTGGTGTCCTTCAAGGTTCCTCTCTATCTCCTTCTCTGTTTGCTATTTACATTAATGACCTTTCTCTCCTGATTTGTCACCCCCAATACCATATCTATGCTGATGATTTCCAAATATACCTGTCCTTCTCGCCCTCCGACATATTATCAGACACAGAAAAACTTCAAGAAGACTTGGATAAGATTTGTGACTGGGCGAGAGCCAACAAGTTTAAGTTGAATGCGGAAAAGACAAAGGCAATCGTAATTGGCTCCAATCACCTCCTTAAAACTGTTCCACCTATTCCACCTCTTTTCCTACATGATACATAATACATAATACTATCAAATTTTATCCCCCTATTAAAAACCTTGGAATAACCTTCGATCAAACGCTTTCCTGGAAAAACCTACATCCAACATCTCCCGCCATGCCATTTCCACCTTAAAACGCCTAAACTACTTCCGCCACTTATTTCACCTTGAAACCCGAAGACTCCTGGTCACTTCCTTAATTTTTCCCCACTTTGACTATTGCTGTACGGTATATGGAGGCGTCTCTGGGGATCTCGAGGCGAAACTAAAACGCTTGATAAATTGCTTTGTACGATTTATCTTCGGAATCCCAAGGGACGCCTCTGTTTACCGTTTTTATGTAGAGTTGAAGTGGCTTTACCTTTCCTACCGTCGTAAGTATTTCCTGGCATCTTTCCTCTTTCAAGTCATCCAATCCCACCGACCTTCATACATCTCCGAGCTCCTCCAAATCCTCTGTTCGCTCCCGCAATACTCGTTCCCGGTCTTCTGATTTATACATAAGGGCCCACCGAACCGCTGCTTTCGACAGACCGTTCATTATCCGATCCTCATCCTTATAGAACTCCATCCCTTCCCACATCCGTAAATCCAATACCCTTCCTACCTTTAAATCCCGCCTGTTCAATCATTTCTTATCCATCCAGTCCCCATAAAATTGTAAATAGATACCACTGTAAATATGTATATAAATTATTAAATAATTCTTCGTTATTTTTACTTTATTTTCGATTTTTTATTATTAGCTTATTTAAGTTAGAAAATAACTTATAATTTTTTAATATGACTATTTCATTACTCAACATTTCTTATTATGTATCTCTGAGGCCACATAGCACACATTACTATCCTTATGTATTATTCTAAAGGGACTCGTCTCAGAATAAATAAAGTATTATTATTATATAGTACTTCCGACAACTATTTAGGCTATACTATACTAGGCTAAGCGGATTCGCAAAATCAATCACCCTTTGGCCATTTTTATTTATGTTCTAAAGAACAATGAAGGTTCCGGCGGTTGAGACATGTATCTGTTATTTGCTTATTTCAGCATTTAAGTGTCTCTGAACCATTATCAAAGTGTATAGTATGAAATTAAATTGTTAAGAAGTCTTATGGGTATCCAACTATCTTAGGCACACAGAATACGATCTCTTCGATGCAGTTCTTTGTGATCCTCAGCATCCACCAGGACAAAAAACGTAGATTGCATTCTGTGTACCTTGAGCCTCAAAGCTCGGCAACGATAAAAAATCAGCTGGCTAATCGCTGTAGTATTTCATCAATTATTTCAAGATAAGAAGTCAGATATTTTCATAAAATACAACCATATCTAGTAGTTGAGGTATAACTGAGTACAAGTATGGTTCGCCGTATAAATATTCGCGGGAGAAGATGTTAAAATAAGTTTAACTATTTATTTGTATACCTTCCTTTTTTGACGAAATTAACAAACTTCTGCAGTAAGTATATCTACTTCATTTAACCGCACATTTGCACAGAATAAGTAAATATGTGGCAATGATTTACATTTCAATTTAGTCAAATACATTTGAGATACTTTATACATTTCTGAAAAAAAAATTCCTTGGAAATTTGTCATGTTGACAATTAGATTCTTTATTAATTTTTTTCTTATATATCACTTTTCTACACAATGACCTCTTTGTAATGAAGAACTGTTATATACTGCGAAGGTTCAAGTCGGCTAAGTTGAATAACTTTATATAGTTCAGTTAACATATATGAGTATATTGTGGTATTTACAATTTACGTTTTCAACGAACCATTCATTACATAGTGAAAAAATATAAGCTTATTTTACTTAATTTATTTTTTTCTTATTTTCCCTATATTTGTAACCTTATAAAATGAAGCTCAATTCCAAGTAGCAGAGGTAATGTTTTCAATTATAAGTCTCATCAATATAGACATTACTTTTACCTTTAAGCTTTCAGCATGCTCTCCAATACTCACATTTGTTTAGGAATGCTATTTTTCTGCTTTACTTCTCAATTTTTAACATACTACTTTGATGATTCAAACTAGTTTTATTGTTAGTCATATTGAAAAATCAAGTTATTTTTTCAATAAAAATTATGGTCCTAATAAGTTTACTCGTATATTTGTAAATGTATTGATCTTAATATATTTGCCCGACATTTAGTTCCATAAAAATTCATTATTATTTGTTTTTTGCTGGTACAAATGCTGAAGTTATGCCTGTAGGCTCCATTTTTTCATACATAGGTTTTAATTAAATTCATGTTAATGAAATCCTGTCTACATCTAATATGAATTGAAAAAATTATATTAGATTATTAGTGATTAGGTGAATTATTTTCATTTGATTAATGTTAATCTATTTTTTTGTAGCATTTTTTTAAATTTATTAGTATAATTATTGAGAATAAATGGTGGAATGAGCAGTGAATTAGTTCTGGTTACAGAAGTTAAACACTGATTAACAAGATAGGTTAGCATTTCAAATAGTGACATCCCAACTAATATTAAAGTCTAGTGACTGTAATTTGACAAATTGTGCTTATGGACTGACTAACTGAGGAAGCATTTAGAAATGAATAAAGTTGTTTATTTAACCTGCAATTAATTAAGGAAATCCATCCAGCGTACTTTGTTTCATTTTAAAAACATTACATAAATTTGCAATTAACATGATTGAAATCCACACCTTATAAACTGGTGAAGATTTTTTAATTGAAACCAAATAGAGTTGTTTATATATTTCTTTACTACTAATTAATCATTTGGATTTTCTTTATCAGAAAGGAAACAATCCATAGAATGAGTTAGAGATGGTTTTGAATGGGATTAGTGCTTACTATTATTATCAAAGAAACATCTCTTGGCTCAGGTATCTTCATTGGAAAATTTATATTAAAAAAAAAATAGGATTGAATGTTACTTTTGTATTAAAATAATAAATAAATAAATATAAAAGAATCATTCCTCTATAAAGTTAATTTATGTTGATTAATCTATTGATTAAACAGCACTATTTTGGGCTGGATAAAATTAATTTGTCCACAAAGTAACAAAATGTACTTAATTCCAGATTTACCAACACCATTTAACATTAACTCGAGTTTACTCAAAATATGATTTAGTTCTCTTATGTAGATTAATATTATTAGTTTAAATTATTTAGTAATTCACCAGTATCAAGTACCCTTGGTCTAAGACAAATTGGAGCATCATAATTTTATCTTGACCATCCATATCCACGCATATATTATTACAGTAAGGCTCGAAATCGGTTTTGTACCAAATATAAGCTCCTGTCATGCCCAAATGCCATGAATGGGGTACCGTTCGATTCAAAATTTCGTATTCTTCACTTTTGTTTTCTTTCTAAAATAAATAAAGTAGATACAAACATTTTGCTAGGCTTCGATACTGGAACGGTGGTAGATCTGTAGATCGATACGGGACAAATCGGACCTTGAAGATTTTGATGCGTACAGCAAGACACCGATAGTTCCTCCGGATTTTCCGATTCCGCGTTTTAAGCCCAAAAACTTCCTATTTTCGAGATGACGCAAGGCATAGGGTTCTCAACGACACAACCTTACGTTAATTGTAGTACTGTCATTGAATACATGTCTCTTTTCGTTGACTTCAGGCCTCTATCATCGGGAAAGGAGGAGTTTATAGTATTTATCGATGGTGGTTTTAATCGGCAAGCCATATCATCGTCAATTCTTCACCAAATCTCAAGATTGAGCCACCAATTTCGAAGGCTTCCTTCTCCTTCAGGCTGACAAAATATTCTAATCATCTAGAAAATTCAGGTAAACAAGTTATGCAAGAAGACAAACTTTATTTGCGAATAACTAAAAAAGTGCACACTTTTCCCTGGGTTGTGCCCAAGATTATATAAAAGATTAATAAATTCCCTCCAAAAGGAAAAAAAATCATCGAAACCGGACAATTTTTAGCAAAGATACAGCTTATTGAATTTTGTAAACATGTTGGTTCCAAACATTAATGAAAATTCAAATTAATTTTTGTTTCCTTTGTCAGTTATATTTATCAATAAAGTAACAATTGATTTCTTTAACTTTTTATAAATTGCATTATTTTATTTTCTTATTAATTTGACATTTGAAAACAATATGCTGTGAATTTTTCGAACGTGTCTACTAGTCATAATTATTCTGCACCGTTCATTACTAGATACAAGATACTAACAGGTCTTTAGTATTGTAAGAATAGATATATAGTTGACTGTTGAAATTATACGGATAAAAATATAGTAGATTTTTTACTGCACATCCTGATCATATTTCATTGTTTCGCATCCTAGTAGAATGTGTTGCAGTCAAAGGTACATTGCCATTAGAAGATAGTTTGGTCTAAAAATCTCTTTTGCGGCAGTTTGCTAGACTTCAGGAATAGCTTTAATATTTCTCAATTTTTGGCCTCCACACCTTCACTCAGTGGCCTATGATTCTTGTGTTATTTTCTTTATATACTTGTACTAATCCAGGACAGTAATCTTAATCGTATTTGTTACTTTAATTACAGGATCTCTTCTAGCACTCTTCACTACTCCAGTAGTGTCCTAAGGAAATGAAACACACTATTGCACCTCAAACATCAGAGTTCTATTTTTAAGCATCGTTAAACCAAAAGTAGTCATTGGAATACGGCTCTTAGTGGCCATTAGAATCCATGATGAGTTGTTACAGGCTTTTGATAAACTAATAACATAAAAAATTAGACTTTCTATTTTATACACTTTAGTTACTGGATTCTTCAGATTTTGTAAATTATTAATTTTTTGTATTTATTGTGGAAGCATTTATATGATGGATTTTGTTTTTCATTTACAGTTCAATGTATCGTATATTCATGTATAAGAGTACTTTTCCTTCACATTAGTCTGCCAACATATGCTATAACGAATATATAGTAAGGGATAGTATTGCGATCATGAAGATCTTTTAAGTTAAAGGATGAATGTTTATTAATTTGTTCAATGAGAGATAATTAATGCAGATAATTTATGACTTATTTTCAATGGAAATGTGTAGCATTTATTAATAAAACCTTTTTTCAGTGCCATCATTGCTTTAATAACTTTACTGTTACAGTTATTAACCTAATGTAATTAGTTTCATTTGACATTTTTTTAAAGTCCCAAAGTTATTATATATCAATATAATGATTATAAAGTCATTAGTTATATTGTGTTATATTAAAAAAAAACTTCCAAAATTGGGAATAAAATTATGGTTACAGATGTAAAGTGGCAAATTTCTTATTTAAATTGGTCTTATCATGCTAAATACATTATTCATATATCATTCATGATATTATTATTTATAGATGAAAAAAAATCATAAAGTAAAAAATAACAAAACTTGCAGACAAACCAGAATCAGATTGGACTGATTATATCAACTGTGATTCAAATTTTCTTTTTGTTTGAATTATTTGTTCAGGTTAAATGTTAATCTGTAAAAACTTGAAAATAAAAGATGAATCAAGAATGAGTTTTACTATGATTATTGCTAATATTTATCATTTATTTCTAAAAAGCCATATTTCACTTGTCACTATTTATTTTAGTCATTTGAATATAAAAATGCTTTATTCTATGTCTTAAATTATTGTTTAGACATAACCAAAGTGAATGAGAAGTGTGAAAAAAAAAGTTTCATTATTTTGTTTTAAATAAAAGTTTATACAAAGTTTGCTTTTTTTATTTTAAAAAAAATCCTCACCGTTATGTATAAACTAAAAGTAACAGCAATTAGTTTTAAAGTTTGAAGAATGAATGTTTAAAATTATTTTATAAAAAGTTATGAACTTATCCTGTCTTTTAGCCTTCCGGCATTCACAAATCTTTTAATATTTGTACTTAAATTTCCCATTTTTTTCCAACCTCTTTACATCATCTTTCCTGATTTAGCTGAAAATCCGCTTTGACATAATTTAAGTTATCTATTAATAAACATTTTTTTTTCCATTATATTTTTGCTAACTAATATCTTTACGATTACAAGTATGGCTAGTTGGTTCTCACAAATAAAGTTGTGATGAAATATTTTATGAACACTTCTTCATTCAACTCAAAAATCTCTGTCATAGAGATGCCTTCAATTTTTGTGGTTTTATGAGGATGGTTAACTATGTGTAAAGGAGTCAGTTTCCAAACAACCATGTAGAAGGTATTACAAGGGCAACATCATGATTTTTATTTGGGAGATAAAGAGTAATTATTTCATTACTTTTTTTACAAATTTATTGATCCAGTGAAAGTAAATAACATTTCTGAATTAGAAATTTTTTTTTTTTTTTTATTTATTTTGTTATTTTAAATTTGCCACTGCGTTGGAACGCATCAAGCAAATGTGTTGGCGTTAATTATATCTTCTTGATTCCTGATATCTTCTTAACTTTTCAACAGATCTCTAGGCCACTGCCTTTTTAGTCGTCTTTGAGGCTCACCAGGTAACAGGGAGGAAGATAGAGATAGAACGAGTGGATTTGGATGATTGAGAGTAGAAGTGTGAAATGTTGTGTATTTGTTGTGTATGTAGGATTTTACTTTTGGTATGTTCATGTCTTTGTGTATGGTGTGATTTGAAATAAACCAAGGAGCATTGACAATTTTACGGAGTATTTTGGATTGTGTGGTTTGAATTTTGTTGATGTGTGTGTGTTTTGCGGAACCCCAAAGTTCTGCTCCGTATGTCCAAATAGGTCTTAGTATAGTGGTGTAGATTAGTCGCTTGTTTAGTAAGTTGAGTGGAGATCTGTAGTCTAAAAGATGTGACAGTTGTTTATATCGTCTGGTCAGTTCTTGTTTTTTTAATTTAGTGTGAATGTTCCAGGTGAGTTTTTTGTCCAATTAGAAATTAAATAAACTTTTGTATGCTGAATTAACTGTTATAAAACATTTTTGCAGCAAACCGGCGTTAAATTAGAGTGCTTTCCAGGCCAATATAGTAGACACGACCTGAAGAAATTCTTGGTCCATCTGGCCTGTTATCTCAGAATAAAGATGTGCTGTTTCTGTTGACTTTCTCCATCTTAAATACATAGTTTTCATTTATTTTATCTGCCATAAATTAATTGTATTTTATTTTTTGTATAAAGCAAAAATGGCATAACCACCACTGGTTAGGAGACAGTAACCACCACTGATTAGGAGACAGTAACCACCACTGGTTAGGAGATTTTTTTAAGGAGTTACTTTTAGGCTTATACTTAATTTCTGACTCAAATCATGAAATTACATCTCACAATTTTGTTTGATATCTATGACCTTTCATCTTCCTTTGGTGGGATTCTCGTTCTTCACTATTGTATGTTGTTGAATTTGTCTTCAGTATTCAAAGCTTCTTCTTACCAGCCGACTTAACTATCTATCGCATCTCTTTAACATGCAGATATAATTTTATCTGGAATAATTTTCCAATTATTTAGTCATAGCGTTAAAACTTATCCTATCATTCAGCAAAGTTACCTGAGGTCATTATGGATGGTTTTATAAATTATAATGAAAACATCATAAATTATACAATAATTCTATTCTTTTGTTGTAATTTATTCAAATCTTTTATTATAATTGAATAACTTTGTTTTAACATTTTTTAAGATTTAGCTTGAAATTGACAGCTAACCATTTCTTCACTAAATATGCTTTCTTGAAACTGGTTTATACTCATCATTAGTAAACATTGTGAATTTACATTCTTAATGTTTTGTTTGTTAGTCTATTGCCCTTTTGAAGCAATACTCTTATTTCTTTACATCGTAATATGTAGACATACTATATTAACTGATATGAACTCATCTATGTTTTGATTTACCTCCAGTTATCTCAAGAGTTCTGAAATTTTCTTAATTTTATTTGACATTTATAATCTTTTAACCCTTATTCTTCGTGATCAAACCATACAAAAATTTTAGGCAAATAAATATTTCGGAAACACGTAAAACATTTAATAAGATTTCATTCCTTTGCTCTTGTTAATATCTGTTTTTACTTTTACGCATTTATTTTATCATATGATTAATCAACTGATTTAGATAGATTAAGGAATTTTAATTGAGTTTATTACATTTTTTTTTAAATTGTCATTTTCTATTTTAATATAAAATATATCTATGTCTTTGAAGTTATTAAGTTAAATCATACAAATCTTTCTATTACTTCATATTCTATGGAAAGTTATCTTAATGTCTGTTTATCGATAAGTGATAAATCCTTTTATTGTTTGTTGTAAATTACTTAAAATTTGCTTCAAGGTTTTTGTATTTTTTGTCAGAAGTTGTACATTTGAAATATTCAAGTTAATTTGATTTTCACGATATTAAAATATTTTGAATTATTACCTTTCTTTGTTCTAGGCCTTAAAGCTGAGAGTTGAAGAAATCTTTATATAAGATTCAGACTCAGAAGATGCTAAAGGAACATACTTCAGGCCCACATTTTGAAACAGGATCAGAAAACTTTGGTACGCATTGGTTATTGAAGGAAACAGATGAGCCTGAAAATATTAAGCCATACATATGTAGAGAATGCAGTTTTTGTACAGATAATGAAATGGAATTAAATAAACATATGAAATCTCGACATAAAGGAAGAAAGGTCTACAGTTGTGAGTTATGTATTTACACAGCGTCTAACTCTGGAAACTTAAATTATCATGTTCTTTCAAAGCATACAGGTGAAAGACCTTATAAATGTGACTATTGTGAACATCGTGCTCGCAGTTCATCCTATTTGAAAATACATGTTAGATCAAAACATACTGGAGAAAAACCTTATAAATGCAATTATTGCGAATTCGGAACAGCCCATCCAAATGTATTAAAAACCCATATAGCTGCCAAGCATACAGGAGACAAAAGATATAAATGCCCTCAGTGTGATTATTGTGCATTGCACTCAGGCAATTTGAACTACCATATTTCCTCAAAACACTCTGAAGAGAAACCTTTCAAGTGTCAATTCTGCAGTTATACTGCAGGACATTCAAGCAATCTGAAACTTCATATGGAATCTAAGCACTTAGCTGAAAAACCTCACAAATGTCCTCATTGTGTATACACTACTGCTCATCCTGGAAATTTCAAAGTTCACATTGCAGCTAATCATAGTGATGACAAGCGTTTTAAGTGTAAAGCATGTGATTATAGCACAGCTCAAGCTGGAAACCTTAAATCTCATATGCTTTGCAATCATGCTAATGAAAGGCCTTTTAAATGTGAATTGTGTCCTGCTGAGTTTATACAACCTGGACGTCTTAAAGCACATATTACTTCAAGGCATACAGAGTTCAAACCATATGCCTGTGAATTATGTGACTACAAATGTGCACAGCAACCAGCATTAACAAGGCATATGAAGAGGAAACATCCTACAGCTGTTATTAATAAACCAAAACCTGTTGTTAGCCAACCTAATTAGTTTAAATATATTCCTTTGTTGGTATTTATTTATTTACTTTTATTTGTGTGTTAGTTTTTGAGTTTCTAAAAACTTATATACGTTTGAATGTGGCTGCGCTTGTATGTGTGATGAAGAATTTATCTTTGACTACTATTTACTCAAAGAATTAGTAGTCGATAATGGGAATACTAATTTTAATTGTTCAAATAAATATGTTTGAAAATATTGTTTTGTTAATGTTTGTTTTTATTAAATTATTGGATTTTTTAGTTTGTTTTACTAATTCAAATTATTATAATAATAAATTTTACAATATTATAGAATTCTTTGTATTATTGCTCCAGTTTGAATTTATATGACCTCAATTTGAATAACAGCTAAAAGTGAATACAAAAAAATTGTTATTTTCTTTTCTTATTTTGGTGAAACATTGAACTATTGTTGGGCTGTTTATTTAATTTGGTTTTTATTTCTCTCAGAAAACCCAATTATAAATAAAACATTATAATTAAAATTTTCAGATATTATCAATATCCACATATTCTATGATCTTAACCATCTTATTAAACAATATGTCTGTTATATTAATTATTTAATAGTTGACCGTTGCATTATAAAGGAAGGAGATGGTCCGGGGTTGCGGTCATAAATAGGCTAAATAGTGGTAATACTTTCAATAAAATATGTCTGTTGTATGGATTTTTGCATATCAAATCTTTTTTTCTATGGAATATTAAAAAGCATACATGTCAATGCATCTTCCTGTCTCACTTTATTCGTTGCAGTGTTCTCCTCTGAAATTTCAATCTGAAAATGCACATGCTATTCCACCATGGTCGATTTAACCAGTAGGATCAGTTTGTCTAGGATTTTACTTTAATCAACATGTCTGGAAAAAAATTATATTTTTTACTTGGTTTACCAAAATACTTCACAGATTTTGAAATATATATATATATATATATTAATTATTAATCAATTAATTAATTAATAATTAAAATTATTGGATTTTTTAAAGTTTGTTTTACTAATTTGAATTATTATTATAATAAATTTTACAATATTATAGAATTCTTTGTATTATTGCTCCAGTTTGAATTTATATTAAAAAAATTGTTTTTTTCTTTTCTTATTTTGGTGAAACATTGAACTATCGCTGGGCTGTTTATTTAATTTGGTTTTTATTTCTCTCAAAAAAACCAATTATAAATAAAACATTATATTTCATTTTTTGAACTGTAAGGCAGAGGTGCCTTGAAGAGAGTTTCATACAAGTTACGCCATCAAAGTTTTTCAGGGGAGGGGGTATATTTTGACGGGATTTTGAGCTTTCGAGGGAGACACATTTTAAGAGAGTTAGGAATTTTCGGAGTGAAAAGTTTCAAAATAGAGAACTAGGGAGAAAACATCGGACAGACACAGCACTTGTAATTGTTCATGATCTACAATTTTTCTAATTATACTTTAGCTTGCACTGTTTTTAAGAAGAAGAGAGTAAAAAAGTTTTTGGAGAGTACCTATAATAGGCCAATTACGTTGAAATAAACTCTTTCAAATATTAACAAAAGCGGAGATTATCCTCAGTTTAGTTTGTTCACAGATTGTTTTCGCTTCACTTTATTTCTCATAAACCTATTTTTTTTCACTAACCATTGTTAATATTTTTTTACTAATCCCTTTTAAAAGTTTTGGGTATTAAAATGTCTGCACGAAGTCTCACAGCAATAGAGCTTACAAAAGCTGTTGCTGCTTTCGAAGGAGGTGATACCCTGAGAAATTTGGCAGGAAGACGACTACAAACCTAACAAAGTGTGATAAGTCACACATGGAGATGTTACAAGGTTTGTGGTTCCTTTGAATATACACATGGTGAAAGATGTCAAAGATCTACAACAGTACAACAAGATCAATATTTGATTGTTTGAGCTCAATGTCTCTAATAATCACGTTGACACGTACTGGAGGCTTCCTAATGATTTGTTTTCTGCCTCTAATCTGCAAATTAGCTTTAACATAGCTAGAAGAAGAATTATAGAGCATGGATTTCTCCCAGCGAAGACCTCTGTGCGTTCCCGGACTCATTCCACAAACATAGACTTCAATTCGCTCAGATTCACATTTCATGTGACTGATCGTGCTTGGGATAATTGCCTTTTCGCAGATTAATAAATTTGTGCTGTTCTACAATTCAAACCAAGCAACAGTTATCTGAAGGTGTGGTGAGTGATACAATTCTTTCCATGTCTTGTCTGCTTACCCATTTGGAGGAGGTTTAATACTGTGTGGGATGATATATCCTTGGCTCTTGAACAGAGCTTGTAGTGTTGCAAAATGAGACTATGACTGCTTACCATGAGACAAGGTCTTAGTACCAATAATGCAACCTATGAAAGAAAGAAAAATTGGCTCAGAATTCTTTTGTGAATGACAACGCTAGATCTCATTGTCATTCACAATGCTCTATTTTTCATGTGTGCATAATAAATGTGTATTTTCTTTTCCGGAAGTTATCTAATCTTTAAAATTTTACAGATTTTTTATTGGTACTAACACCAACATAGTACCAAGAGAAGTGTGTATAAGCACTACAGAATTAAAATACAAGCATAGTAAATTCATTCATCATGATAAGAAGTAAATATATGATGCAAAAAAAAAAAAAAAAAATACCCAAATGAATATGGGTTGTTATTAAGAAATTCTATTTTATAAAATAAAGTGATATGTCTCTTGAATTGCAGTGAATAACTTACCAGGCAATATTTTATCAATTCAGGTATGATAAAAACCTAAAAGCTTTATATTATATAAATGCAGTTAAGTCTAATAGTAGACGACCAAGTAGTAACCAAAAAGAAAATTTGGTCAGTATTTTTCAGATTGTTTACGTGCGATACGCCATCTATGCTTTGAAGGTATACACTCTAATGTTTTTCAATTCTGATGATGCCTGATTTGGTAAAACATTATTTATTTACTTATTGTTCTTTGAGAGATAACAATTTGTGTTATAATCTTCCAGTAATACTTAGCTGTATTTTTAGTTTTATTTATTTTCTGTCTCTCTTGTAAGTTAAAAATATCTTTGTTTAACCATGATAAAATATAGTTGAATATTTTGATTGAAAATAGATGCAATAGCATATCTATACAATAATAATTCAACAATAAAACAATATAAAATTAACTAGATTTCTAATGGTGTTTAAAATGCAGACACTCAAATATTAAATAATGAAAAGTATCTAATGTTCTAAGAGTTCTTAGGAAAAATAAATTAAATAGGTAATATAAATTTACTATTTCTAGGAATACTTCAAACCACTACTTTAACTCATTTTAACATTTGAAAACATTATGGGCCATATTCGCCCATTTTCAAGTCTGAGAAGCATATCTTAAAGTTATCCAAAAATTTAAAATTTATTCAAATGTCAAAACTTTTACGTCTTTTTTTTTTGGCTCTTATGAAAATTGTTAGTCTGTCTATTAATTTTAACAAAATATTAATTTAATTAATTAATTGAATATTTTAATTTAAAATAGTTGCAATATGCTATTCTATTCCATACAATAATAGTTGAACTGTAAAGTAATGTAAAGTTAATTAGATATTTAAAATGAACAAACGCAAATTTTAAATAATGAAGAGTATCTGATGTGACTTATTAGGAGTTCTTATGAAAAATAAATTAAATAGGTAAAAGCTACAGTAGATTTTTTGATTGATCCAACAATCTCAGAGTGCTCAATAATTTACTATAATTGTATTATTGTGTTATGAATTCAGAAATCAAAATTTATATTGAATTAATATTTTGCATTGAATACCCAGGTGAATATCGTTCCCATGAATATTTGCTGTTTAAGTCAGTTTGGAAAAGGTCAGTGGTTATAGTATAAATTACATACAATACTTTGTACACCAATATATCATCATATTTATAATATTACTCTTATAAAACTTTACCATTAGTTTTTATGCTTAGATTCCATAAACATTATATTTGATTATTGCATTACAAATGAATATAGGGAAAATTGTTGGTCAAGTTAGCTTAGTAGAACTAGTAAACTTGACTATTAAGACACACAAACACTAGTTGAACATAGAGACAGAATAAAAATTTGCAGAAGAATATTAATTAGCTTCAGCTTTTCAATCAAAGATGTTCATTGGAATTTTTTAATAAGGACACTAATTGAACAATATTTTAAGAAATATTGTTTTTTTTTTTTAATTATTGTAAATTCCTGATAGATCTTCAACAGACTATCAAACCGCTCATAACCCTTCTAACCAGACTCCTTTCCGAAATCCCGCTTAGCTTCCCTCGATGAACTCAAAGTCCCTAGCTATTCTCTTATGGAACGCTAATGGACTGCAAAACCACCTTGATGAACTAGACATATTTATCCATGACAAATTATATTGACATTGCCCTCCTAACAGAAACTCACTTCACCCAACGGACACATTTCTACATACGTGACTACATCACCTATAGATCTGACCACCCAGACAACACTGCCCACGCCGGTTCTTGCATCCTTATCCACAAATCTTTACCCCATTCCCTTATTCCTTCTATTCCATCAGATGCCATTCAGTCAACTTCTGTAATTCTCTCAACTCGTCCTTTCCATCTAACACTTTCAGCTGTATACTGTCCTCCTGGCAATTCCCTCTCGTACAGCCTACTTGAATCCTTTTTACAATCCCTCGGATCGCGCTTTATTGCTGGAGGAGACTACAATGCTAAACACCAACGATGGGGTTGTCGATCATCCAACTCCCGTGGTAATACCCTTTCACAAGTTTCTTCTTCCAACAATTATTCCATCCTCTCGCCCATGAATCCTACTTATTTGCCAACATCCCTCAAAAAACGTCCCGATATCCTGGACATATTTATCACATCGCAGATTTCCTCCTCCCAAACTATAATCAAATCCCTGGATGACCTTTCTTCAGACCATAGTCCAGTTCTGCTTTCACTACATTCTGACTTTGCTCCTAAACCATCACTTCCTAAACTGATCACTGGACCAGTAAACTGGGACAAATTTCGTGATGATTTGGAAAACAAACTAGACCTCAAAATCCCGCTAAAAACAAAAGAAGACATTAATGGTGCCATAGAAAAACTGACATCATCAATAACAGACAGTATAAATAATAACACCTTTATCAATAAGATTAACTTCATATTCGTAGCATAGCACAGCATATTCGTATCTTA